TCAGCAGGCCGGCAGCGGCGCTGAAATGCAGAACTTGTCGGCGGGATGCGGTCATGGGGGCCTGTCCTCAAAGTGAATCTTTTCGGCCGGCGCAGGATTGACGCTGCGCCAGCGGGCTCGCTATGTTGCTCGATCTCGCGAGGAGATCGACATGAAGCTCGGCCTGATTGCCCTCTTCACATTGGCGCTGCTGTGTGGCTGCGTCAGCACGACGCCCAGCGCCAGCCTGGAAGACACGAAGAACTGCACGGCGATGGTCGCCGGCGGTTTCCGCAAGGTGGCCGACGAGCGCAGCGAGCGCTTCAACGGCAAGGTCGGCGAGGCGGTGGCGCGCTGCCGTGGCGGCGACAAGGCGGCGGCCTTCCGCGCCACACCCTACGTCGACTGGGCCAACTACTGGGCCACGGGCGATGCCGGCACGCTGCTGCCGGGCACGACGGGCGTCGGGCTCCACATCGGCGCCAACGGCCGCGGTGTGGACGGCGCGCTGCTGGACCTCGAATACCAGCGCATGGAGCTGATCAAGTTCAACCTGTTCGACAACTCGGGCACCTTCACCGACTACGCGCTCGGGCGCGACGGCGTGCCCGGCACGGCCATCAAGAGCTGGCCCTCGATGCGGCTGCCGGCGAGCTCGCCGTTCTATGCCGCTGTGGGCGGTGACGGGCCGCAGCTTTGCCAGGGCGAGCTGATCCGCTGGCGCCAGCTCAGCGGCATCTGCAACGACCTCGTCAACCCGCGGATGGGCTCCAGCGGCATGCTGTTCGCGCGCAACGTGCAGTTCGAGGCGACCTACCCCGACGCCAGCGACGACCCGCTCGCACGCAACCGCCACGGCGATCGGCTGAGCCTGCTGCAGCCCGACCCGCAGCTCATCAGCCGCAAGCTGTTCACGCGCGCGCAGAGCGACCCCAGCAAATGCCGCGACGGCCAGGGCCTGCCCGGCGCGGCAGTGGAGGCGAACTGCGACTACCAGAAGGCGCCGTTCTTCAACGTGCTGGCGGCGTTCTGGATCCAGTTCATGACGCACGACTGGTTCTCGCATCTGGAAGAAGGCCGCAACGCGCCGCAGTGGATGCCGGTGGGCTGCACCGGCGACGCCG